AATGCCGGCTACCCCAGGAGTCACAAGCCTCTTTTGAGGTGGGAGGCTTCAGTTGTACCTGAGCTTTCGGCATCTCTGGTGCTTGCAGGGCCACTGAGTGGTGATGCCTTATCTTTACCTGTACCTCCCTGCAAAATAAATACATAGAGATATGGATAAGGATTTCAGGAGGCATTCATTCATCAGACACAAGTGTCAGCAAATAAAATTCCAATTGGATGTAAGGGAAAAAAATATTCCCAGGGAGGGGGGTGAAGCATGGGACAGGTTGCTCAAAGAGACTGTGACATACCCGTACTTGGAAGTTTTTAAAATCTAGTGGGATGAGGCCTGGAGCAATCTGATCTGACTTTGAAGTTATCCCAGCTTGGAGCTAGGGGTTAAAATAGATGACCTCCAAGGGTCACTTCCAACCTCAATTATTAGGTAACTTTATCTGCCATTCCGCTGTGGAGCATGGTCTCAGGATGGGGGGGAAGGTCTTTAGCAATTTTGTGAGCTAGGAAAAGTGTGCGTTACCATCCCGTTACCTGTATTTTTAGTTGGCAAAATTTAAAAGTAGCTGTGTAATTGTAGTTCATTTGGTGAAATACTCAGCCCCAGGACTACCCGTTCTCCTAAAACTCTCAGAACTAGTAACTAAAACAGAAGCCTTACCAAATCTGTGCAAAGGAGGTGAATGTACCAGGTTCACAGGAGAGTAGATGGAGATGCAGGACAGAGCTATTTATGCAGGCAATCAGCAAAAGGATGGATGTAGAACCTAGGCAGCCCAGCTTCATGCTGTACTGCGGGCATTATGAAAGCTTGGTGTGATTCTTTTATACAGTTTGTGGAATCTTTCTTTTTTTATGGGGGGAAGAGGGGGAAATCCCATACTTCTCAAATCATTCACCATAACAGCAGAGCCTTTCTGGTGTGTATTACAAAACGTCAAATCAATTTGTGATGGTAATGGGAAAGGGAGTGGGGCCACACGTGGCATTAAGAGGGAAACCCATCTGTGGAGGGCTCAAACAGAGTTCATAACTATATTTGCTGTGCTGCTTTTATTTTTAATAAAGTTTGGTGCTGATGTGTCTACTTCAGTAACAAAACCAAGTTTTCAGTAAGGGCAAGGATCACTCAGATGCTCATCTGATACAAAGAGTGTTTGAACAAATGAGTATTATATATAAAATTATGTATGGAAATCTGGAAAAAACTATAACTCATGTTTAATGCTCGGAAACATACCTTAGAAAACCATTACTGGCTTAGGACAGCTGGAGGATTAATTAATGCCAATGCTGAGTTAAGCAGGGGGTTGCTTGTGGTGTTTTTTTATCTGACACGTGGACTGCATGGGGTAGTGCCTGGTTTCCTCTGCTTAGGGAGGGGGAAAATAATAATCTTTTCTTTTTGCTTCTGCTCATACAGATCCACATCCAGAGGACAGAAGGGTGTGACCATATGACCTGTTCACAGTGTAACACTAATTTCTGTTACCGTTGTGGGGAGAGATACCGCCAGCTCCGGTTCTTCGGAGATCACACCTCAAACCTCAGTATCTTTGGATGCAAATACCGCTACCTCCCCGAGAGACCACATTTAAGGAGATTAGTGCGAGGCTCTGTCTGTGGTGAGTGGATGAATGTTCCTTGGGGAGAGCTGCACAATGAGGTGATGGTCGGGAGGGCCAATAATAGTTAAATAAAAACGATTAGTTTAAAATATGGGATGGGCAGCCTGTTGTTTAGTTATGTAAAAGGTGGTTTATTAAATATATTTACATATATAGCATTTGTACTCCCTGGACTGCATATGAATAAGTATTGTGTCCTCTTCTGATAGCTTCTATTTCCTTTTTAATAATATTTAGGCAAACTGGAAAAATACTGTCAATATGCATGTTGCTGGCTGTGATCATTCTGAAAGTATATAGGAGAAACGGATCAGAGCAGGAACCTTTTTCAAAAGAACCTCTGTGTCAAGGATCGTCTTGAATAAAGTATTGTTTGGATTTGAACCTGATCTGGGTTTGAAAAACCAAATCACTCTGGTTTTCCCATTTAAGTAGGAGGACAGAACACTTACCTTTTAATTGCTAGCTTTGGTTCAGATAAAATCCAGCTTAAACCAAAATACAACTATATACATTAATTTTTCTCACAGGAAT